TATAGCGGCAGTGTCTCTGAAAGCAGCGATGGGCAGTGGAAGGGAAAATGGGATTCTCTGTTTGCTGTTCATCCTGTTTATATCCGAGTGGTGTGCTGCTCAGATATCCTACTCTGTTTCTGAGGAGGTGGACAAAGGAACTGTGGTCGGGAACCTCGCAAAGGATTTAAATGTCAACGTCCGAGACCTGCAAACGAGGAATCTAAATATCGTGTCCGGATACAGTAAGAAATATTTCGAGGCTAATTTTAAAACGGGGGATCTTTACGTTAATGAGAGAATAGATCGTGAGGAGCTTTGTCCAAATACGATCAAATGCACACTAAACTTAGAAGCCATACTGAGCAATCCTATGGTACTGCGACGCATTGAGGTGGCGATTGTTGATTTAAATGACAACACACCTACATTTGTCGAGAAGTCGTTTTCACTTAACATTTCTGAATCTTCACCTACGGGCGAACATTTCTTGCTTCCCCTCGCTCTTGATGCAGATACAGGCAGCAATTCAGTGAAGACGTACAGGCTCAGTCCAAATGAATATTTCTCCCTCGATGTACAGAGCGGTGGAGAACATAGCGCATCAGCTGAATTAGTGGTGTTGAAAGCTTTGGATCGAGAAAAACAAGCTGTTATTAAACTGTCACTAGCCGCTGTAGATGGAGGTAAACCTCCCAACACTGGAACTGTAGAGATAAATGTTAATGTTCTAGATGTTAATGATAACACGCCGTCGTTTAGCAAAACGCTTTACAAGGCACGTGTAAATGAAAATGCTCCACCCGGATCATTAGTTATTCAACTTAATGCCACAGATTTAGACGAAGGGGACAACGGCAGGGTCGTTTACTCTTTTGTCAAACGTGCAAACTTCAATCCTGCGGATGTGTTTTTTATAAACGCAGAGACCGGGGAGATCACCGTTAAGGGTAATTTGGATTACGAAGCACAGGCAGCATATGAAGTTCATCTTCAAGCTACAGACAAAGGCTCGTCGCCTCGAAGCACAAATGGAAAGCTACTTATAGAGGTAGTTGATGTGAACGACAATGCCCCAGAAATTGTGGTGACGTCACTCATGAACCCCGTCAGAGAGGATGCTGACATAGGAAGCGTTGTCGCTTTAGTAACAGTGACTGATAAAGATGGAGGGAAAAACGGCCAGACTCGCTGTAAAGTTGTTGGTTCCACATATTTTAAGCTAAATTCAAATTATAAAAACTATTACTCATTAGTTGTGGATGGACCCCTTGATAGAGAAACGTGTGCTTTTTATAATGTCACGATTGCAGCTAGTGATGAAGGTAGCCCGTCTCTATCCAGCACCAGTGTTATTAATGTTGAGGTTTCTGATGTCAATGACAACGCACCACGTTTTCTTGAACCCGTGATTAATATTTATGTAAAAGAAAACAGTCCAGTTGGAGCTCGTATTTACGCCATAACTGCAGTCGATCCTGATGTAAATGAAAACGCCAGAGTAACGTATTCATTAACAGGCGACTCAAAAAGCATCCCTATAACTTCGTTTGTAAACATCAACTCAGAGACTGGAGACATTATCAGTCTGCAGTCGTTTAACTATGAAGAGTTAAAAACATTCCAGTTCAAAGTTCAGGCCACGGACTCTGGGGTTCCTCCGCTCAGCAGCAATGTGACTGTCAACGTTTTAATACTGGATGAAAATGACAATAATCCAACAATTCTCGCTCCCTATTCTGAGCACGGCTCCGTTAACAGTGAGAGCATCCCCTATTCTGCTGAAGCAGGATACTTTGTGGCAAAGATCAGGGCTGTAGACGCAGACTCTGGATACAATGCGCTGCTCTCTTANTCCAAAGCTACTCAGCAGTATGACGTGTGTTTCAGCTCAGACACGCTCAAGAGTGACGTAGTGGTTTTCCCTGCACCGTTTCCACCTGTAGATGGGGAACTGATCAGTATTAATGGAGGAGACACCTTTACCAGGACTCAGACTTTACCTACTAAAGAAAAGGTATGTTTTATTAAGTTTTGTATTGGAATTCCTTCAGTTAAAATTGCTCCGATTGACGGAGACTTTTG